ACCTAGCACCTATTCACAAAGAAATAATTCACTAAGATCAAGATTTTCATGGAAAGTCACTTCCCAGGTTTAGTATTTCCAAAAGATTTTGATCTTGTCTTGCAACCTCTTAGGATAGAGCCCAAATGCCCTCTTCCCACCCAGGCACTCAGCCACTGACTTAGGAAAGCAAGGAAAAATGAAAAATTATGTAATACCACAGATAACACTTGATAAATAATTTTTCACTCCAGTCCAGGAAGGCTTAGAGCATTACAGGTGTCTCTCTATTATGGATAGATTACACACACATCAAGTTGAGCCTCAGATCCCACCAACAGTCATTTAGCACTTGCCTTTTTAGAGAAAGAAGGATTCCCAATAGCAATTCCATAGCAACCTCTTTCTACTCACAATATGGAGCCATGGTGGGATGTAGAGATGAAAAGCAGTACATCTACATTAAATTCACAGGTTTAGGTACATAAAGCATATACTTTCTCATTGACTGAGTAAAAAGCCTCAAATGTTAATGTAGATAACGAAAGAAGAAAACACTACAGTGCATATACACACCGTATCAGAATAAAATTACTTGAGAAAGCTATCTCTCTGTGAACCTCCCTGCTTATTCTAGTCTTTCTTGGGGCTGATCCGAGCCAAACACAAAAGAGAAAAAAAAATCATAATAAATATATAAAAAAAAGTCTTTTTACAGGAGTTCTTCAGGATTGCTTGATGAAGAACCTGAACAGCTTATAAACCACTGTAAAGTAGATGGGGAGGCTCACAAATTTTGGTATTTGAAGATGATTCGAAGATACTGCATATCACTTTTTGTGGCAGCAAAACATAGCAAAAGGAAGCAACCAAGCTGAGAGACAACTGAAAACAACTGGATTCCCCATCAGCTGACCCTTTGCTAACAAAGCAAAAGACTTTCTTGTGTCTGTTAAGTGCTACTGCTGTGAAGACACATCTCTGATGATGCTCTCCAACCCACGCCAGTAGATGGGTCATAAGGCCCGTGGAAGGTGGAGAATTATCGTGACATAAAAACAAGGATAGCAAGACTTCAGGGGAAAGTGTGGGCTTTCATTCAAAGCACTTCTGAAACCTTGGACCTTCCTGAAGAAAGCAGAGGAGCTGCTGGCCCACTCTCAGCTTAGGCACAGGTGGTGAGTGACAGAGGGCACCGACCTAACTAAAGGCAAACTGAGTAACTGTGACGACACCCACCTTGCCCTAATCTCACTGAATTTGCTGAATGCAAATACCATTTTACATCAAAGCTACCTGGGTTTTGTTTTTATAGAAATATCATCATCACTGTCCTTTACGAAAAAGAAACTGAAACCAAAACAACCCTAAAAAGATCGGTGGAATTCTTCAAATATCAGTGATAAACCCCTTTTCTCACGGACTCTTCAGCAGTGTTCAGAAGGTATGTTTCTATGGATTCGATTACACTGAAGTAACTGGTTAAGGGAATTGTAATCACACAGAAAAAGACAAATGCATGTGTTCCTCTGTGTACATGAAACACCCACAAGGCTTATGAAATCCATTCACAACAGAGGAAATATTCTAAACATTTTAAGAGGCTCTGTCAGCAGTCTCACAGCAAGACTCATTCACATTCGTAAGTCACAAGGAAAAAGCTGTTTTCTGTCCATGCTGTATGAACAGATTTTGTTTGGTCTACAGCTCATATTTAAGTTGCAAGCAAATAAATTATCCTGGCTGAATTAGCTGACAAACCACAACCATGGTATTGAGAATAAATATTTGATTGGGACTGAATTAACTCTTTGCAGATTTGTGCTCATGTTTGCACATACTAGAGCTGCGTGTATAAAAAACCAGGATACATAGGATATTAATCAAACTGTAGTCAAACATGTTTACCTGAAAAAAATAAAAAGAAAAGTATGCAAAAAAAAAAAAAAAGCAGGCCAGTCTTTTCCCCATTTTGCTTTTAGAATTAGTTTGAACACAATCATATGTTGACACTCTCATTGAAAACCAGATTGGACAGGAGGATAGAGGATAGTGAATCCTGACAAGTTGAAATGTAAATTAAGATGTTTTCATGTCTCTGCACATGCAGTTTTGTGCCTCCCAGGGAAACTGGTACATAACAACAACTTTTATATGAAGTCCCCACCTTATTTGCAGACTTAGAGAATAGAATAGCACTGAGACTAGATTGTTATTAAACAAAGAGGTGACTAGGAGCTGGAAATCAATATGCTAATCATAACAAAGACATTGTCATTTTACAACATTTTGGAGTGATTTTGCATCAAATGAAACCCTGTGGGACAATATCAACAAATGACTGTTTGGCATCACATAGTGCCTAAGCTGAACTGAACAGGATACTTCCAAAACTAAAGCACACGTGCTAGTTTAAGGAAAAAAAACCCCAACATGTAATGCGATAAAACTGCAACAAATATTTCCATAAGTCCCTCCAGCCACATCCCCCTCCCTCCCTTAAGCTGTCAGGAACTGTTTCCCAAAGCTCCCGGAGGACTGTGATTATTAAACTAAACACCACACAATAGAATGCAAGCTGGATCTCATTCTCCATACTCCCATTTTAAAGGATGGCAGTAGAAACATTAACTATTCCATCCTCAGTGGCATTCAAGTATGTTTCTCTCTTTCTGTCACACAAAAATAGTGCAAAACACATCCCTTTTGTCCTTCTCCTTTGATGTTTCTATCTGTGAAAAATAAAGAATGAAGAAGGATTTATCTCTACTGCAAGTCCTATTAACTGTTCACCCTGTCACCTATAGCATAATCTATTTATGTAACATTTTGTACAACTGTATGGAACAATCTTTTCCAATGAGCAGCAGGTGAAATAATGACCTGCTAGTTATTGTTACACCACATTTAGGACAATTAGAGGTCTTGGCTGAGTGTTTGGCTGAAATAAGCCTTCCCCTGCACAAGAGGCATACGCATAAAAAATTTTGAAGGGAATCAGAGGGTTGTATTACTATATGATCCTTCAGACAATCAGGAACATGGGGCACTTGTAGGTGTAGCCTTGAGCAGTTTGGCATAAACTATGTCTTTTGCTGTACTGCAAGATTTGACTCAGCTATGAGTAGAGTATAGTTCAATGTACAGAGGTGATTTAAAATCAATTCCTATAGATGTGAACATTCAATATTGGAAATCTCTTTCTAAAATGCTAAAATAGATAAAATACTAACCAGTTGGTTTTAAATGAAACTTTAATACCTTTCAAAACAATGAAGTACCTAATCAGTGCTTACAATTAGGAAATTTTACAACTGAAATTCTGTGTATAAAATAGTTTCTTCTGAGTTTCCAGTTACTTTCTGCATTAACAGACTTACAGAATAACCACTAACAGAACAGCAGGTTCCCAGAACAGCCTTTTTAAGTTAATCAGCACATAGCAAGCCTGATTCTACACAGGTTCAGTTCTGCTAGCATCACAAATGAATTGCTGTGTTCATATGCTTAATCCCACGAGATGTCAAGTTATTCATGTCCTTCTTGGTGTTTGCAGGATTAGAATCTAAGTATGTTGCTTCCCCCCTCTCCCGTCCTGTCAGTAAATGTGGGATCAGAGTTCAGAACATGCCTGATTTTGTTCTCCTAATCTCTAGTAATCTTCTCAGTGACACAGGATCTGCTGCAGAATATCAGGCAGCCATATCAAAGTGGAACAGTTTGTGGAAACGTTAAGTTACATCCATATTTATCAAAGTAGGCTCCATATGCTGCCAAAGGGTAAAACAGTATCTGTTCACATAATCAAGTAGCACTAAATATTAAGGTCAATATTACCTTAAAGTCAGTACCCTCACTCACAAAGCTTTTTTACAAATGGTACAGGTTGTATAGCCCAGATGTGTTGCTGCTTTAGCTCCTAACACAAAATTCAGGGTAATTCGTGACTCTGAAAACACAACTAACACAGTGCTGTATACAAAGGAAGGTTTTTACAAACTGCATATGGAGTTTTACAGTGTGAAAATTTAACTGGTGGATTCCGCCAACAGAACCCTCTCCAGCGGTTCTAAGAGGCAGACACTAGAAAAGACTGTCATCCTTCAAAGTCACTTGTTTCATCAGGTAGCATGGAGAGAAGGAAAACAGTAAGACAGTGAGGATCGAGATCTTGCTCAAATATCAGTTATGAAAATATCTGTTCAAAATCCATCTTCAGCTCAGTATTTGCCCAGTACAGGTAATCTGTTCTCATTGTATGTGTATTCAAATGCCTGTTACTCAGTTGTTCTGCTGCCTGTACTGCCACAAGGCCAGCTCTAATTACCATTAAAGAAAACAGAAAGACTATCACTGGCTTCAGTCGTTGTTGAGACTATGCTGAAGTTATATTATACATGCTGGAAAAATCTACCTTACATTCATTTAAATTTTTTTTTCTTTTTTAGAATTTCCAGGGTTAATCAATTCACTAGCAGATACTTGACATTTATAGAAGAGAAACCTTTCCTTTCCTCAGCTTTAATTAAGAAAATACAGAAGAACCTCACCTTTCATGAAATCAGCTCTGCTCTCAAAAGGTTAGCTGCCCATTCAACATCACAGGCTTTAATAAAATAAATATTTAATTGAGTGATGTTTCCCAACATCTCTTCTTGTTAGTTGCTTGTTAGGCAATAATATCATACTCTGCTTATACAGACGGGGAATGCTGATGTTCAATTTTGTAAAAATACAATCTGATTTTGGGGAATGTTCTTTACAATTCAAAATAGGACAGCAGTTGTTGACAGAGCTTTGCAGACTGTTCAAGGAAATGTAGCATAGTAAAACTACGCTGCTTTTAAAATATTTATATCTTTTTAATCCTTGCAGCAGATAATCCTCTTTGCAGTAGGCAGGAAAATGAATACCCTTTATTGTTTTTAAGTCCTTGCTTTTCAAAATTAAGATTTGCAAATTTTTTCTGCCCTAAAATTTTACTACAAGTATTACTTAAAATTTTGCTTGGATCAATTTACCTTCCATAAGCAAAGCGCCTGTCTTTGTGGTGGTCCCCAAAAGTATCCCACAGCCTGAGAGACACACTCACTTCATCCACAACATCTCTTGAGCGTTCAAGGACCTAGAACAGAACACACAAGACATTCTCTTTCCCTCTATCAAACAAGTACATTTCTATTTTGCCCCCTAAGGAGGTCCAAAGCATACTAGATCAAGAGTCTCTCACATATAGTTTTCAGCAAATGTTGTATTTTATAAAACAGGCAGAATATGCATCTTCCTAAGAGTAGGTTTGATTAAAAAAATAATACTTTGGAATGAGAGACTCAGGCAGATGCGTATCGGACCACGGCTGCAGTAGAGACCATGCATAAAATACTTGTGAGCTCATTGCTGCATCCTGACAAAGAAAGGCTTGCCAATAAATAATAGTACAACCTCACAGCATGTGCTCCATATTTTGTACACCTGCAGTCCTTACCTCTTGGCAGACACGGTACTGATCAATGGCCCAGACAGTTGGTACGTGAGTTGCCAGCAGCTGATACTGAGTCAAGGTTGTATTGCATGCTCTTGCACAAATTAGACGAGTCTTTCCCACTGCATTATCTCCAACCACCACACACTTGATAGTTTCAACGTTGGGTCTTTCGTAGTCCATGTCAGTGTCCATTTATCAAAAACTGTAACAAGACAGTTAAACTTGTTTTCTACTAGAATCACAGCCTTCTACTTCCACTTCTTGAGAGATACCTGAAGAGGACAAACTCATAAGGAAAAGCTTGTAGTAAACTGTACCAAAGTAAGCTAGCCATTCCTTTAAATACCGTACAGTTATGCAAATGCACAACTCTTTTGACCACAGTGGGTTTAGGTTGTTCACATGCTATTTTCACTTTGGTTTCTGTAAACACAAGCCTGTTTGCAGAAGATAGATCTTGGTGAAACAAGGACAGCTAGCACAAACTTACCTCTTGCTAATACTTTTTATGCCAAGAAGGAGAAAAGACTGGACATCAGTGGGTTTAACCTGAAGGATACCAGTATAAACCTGCCTTCTGTAATCTTGCCTATTCAGGATTTGATTTAGGGCTGTCCAAACAATATTGCTAACAGCAAGTCACACAGATGGTTTTCGTTATATGCACACAATAAAACTGACTTGTAAGATGACTCCAGAGACTCTGCTCTCTACAAACCACAACTCCCATTGTATCCTGCATGTATCACACACCCTTAATTTTCCAAGAAGTTTGTACAGATCATTGACTAAAATGAAACCAAACAGTCCAGCAGGAACTTGCAAATATACTTACCTATACCTACAAATTCTTTTTGACATGACAATGGAAAGTGAAGAGAAGGAGATTTTTGAAGATACTATCCTCATGGAAAGTTACTATTGAAACTATTTACTTACATATTCTTTGGCAACATATTGAACAACTGCCTGGATATGAATGAAAGCTGGAAAAAATGGATATTTGAAAAACTAAAACCAACTCCTGCATGTTTACTACAGCCTGTCATTTTCATATAAAGAAATGTGGGATTTTCCTATAAAGGAATGTGGAATCATAGTTTGATATATCTGATTTTGGTTTTCTAATGTCTAGTAGTCTGCTGAGCAATCTGGTCTCTGCCAGGGAATTGTAATCAAGGAGGGAGAAAAGGGAAAATGCAAGGCACAAACATGTTCAGGAAGGCTTGCCTAATAGTTATTTTGGCAAGGAAACCTGCAGCAATTTAATTGACAAAACACAGGTCATCATCTGGAGTGATGGTATACTTTTCCTGAGAAGAAAGCACTACAGATAAAGAAACAAAATTATTTGTTTTAATATCTTTTTTTAATATTCACATGTCATTCACACAGAAACATAGAATATATATTAACTGTCAGGCTGTTTAAAATAATAGATACAAGCTGTTTTGGTGTCCATTTTTCACTGTCAGAGGCACTATGTTCTGATTTAAGAAAAGGCATGTTTAGTAATTACTAGCCAAACACTAATTTTAACTGCATTCTTTCATTATTTAAAGTGATGTAAACCAAGAAACAAAAGTCAGTGTTAGAACTAAATGCTACCCATTTATTTAAAATTTTGCGCATGGAATGCATGCTAATAGCTATAATGGCTCAGGTGCAGTTATAATCTTTTTTCATGTGTGGACGGGAGGAGTTAGGGATCACATAGACAGCAAGGTGCAAGGGTGAGTTTATACCACTACTGTGTCACACCGATATCTTTTCACAGACATTGAATGTTTCTGGAAATGCTACAGCACGGACTAGGATGTAAGAATACATTTTAGAGAGTTGTCCTGCACTAGACTGAGACATGGGCCCAGAACTCTTCATCCTGGCACAAGTACATGGTTGCACAAGTAGAGCTTTGCAATCTGCCAAACATAGAGCAAACAGCATGGCTTCAAACATACATGCATAGTACATACTGCTTGTAAAGCCTATTGGCCTTGTGATACTAACCTGCTATGTCGGCACAGAGGTTTTAGCTGTTAAGGAAACAAAGCTATTAAGATATTGCCTTTATCCCTTCACCTGAGTTGTAACCGGCATGCTGAAATATTACTAGTATTGAGGTAAAGGACTACAGAGACTTCCAGTTACCTGTCTGCGATTCAACCACAGCTGCTTGTTGGATGCAAGCTCCCACAAGGCTGATACCTGGGATGGCCCATGGGCTCTATACCATCTTCATGTGTCCAAACACAAGAAGAGAAATGAGAGCTAACTCCTCTTTCCTCCTCCGTGTCCTTTCCAAGAATACAGTCATTATATAAATAAAAGTACAAAAACAATATGTTTTTTCCACAGTACAGAGAATGAGACATATTTGTACACCACGGCCTCAAAGGCAGGGCCTTGAATGAGTGGCAAAAACCCAAGGGGTTTCAGTATGTGATCTAAAAAAGTTTCATTTCAAGTCTGAGAATAAACAGCAACCCCCTGACATAATATGTGATATTAAATTACTTCATATTTTATTCATGCATGGACTAGACATCACAGATGGAATGTGGAAATGTTTACAAGGCTGGAAAACAAAATGAAGGAGCGTGGCTAGCCAGTGTGTCTGGTTGATTTTAAACTACCAAGCAGAGAGATGCCAAACCAATTTTTCTTCTAACCCAATATTCCATTAAAAAGCTGTTACACAGATTAGATGAGGTTTTATATAAAAATCTGATTTTAAAAGCCTTCAAAAGTTCTTAAATGTTAGTTCTGCAAAAATGCACTTCAGTCAGTCACAAAATATGTATTAAGCACAGAGTCTGGAATCTTAAAAAAATTTCCAAGAGGATAACAGAGTTTAAAATTAATAGGCAAATCTAAATACAAGTGGTAAGATAAATCAATGCAATTATTTGAGAATCCTAGAAAAGGAACACATGAAAATAAAATTAAAAAAATTTTTTTTTAAATTTCTGATATACTTACTAACTTAATTAAAGCAAAGTTATCACAGAACTCAGACACAGCATGCCCAAATGCCCTGTTGTAGATCAATGGCAGTCTAATGAAGATATTTTTAGCGTGACTCAATACTGCACAGGACAGAGATTAAAATAAATTGGGAATAAAAACAAAACTAGAGCTTTTTGGCTATGTTAAGGAAAATTCTTAAATCCACTCCAGGTATATATAGAGTATCTATGTATTAAAAGAGCAGATCATTTTAATATTGTTCACTAGTTTTCAGAAAGGGATTAAAACAGAAATAGCTCCTGAAGAGACTGACAGACAGAAGCCTGGACAGATATTTAGACACCTCAAATAAAACCAGATGCTAACAACAAATTGGGGTATAAACAATTATCAAAATGTGTGGATTAAATGCTTACAAATGTAGCCAGAAGCCTTCTGGCTACTGGAATGACTAAAGCCAGGAATATGTACAAGATCTTAAAAATACAGCCACAGTTAGTTTTTTATAAGGTAGCCTCTAGGTTAAGCTTGTGCTAAACCTATTATATAATCACACTGATTAAAAATGCTAAACATGTGTTTACAAAACTTAAATTAAAAAAAAAAATCTAGATTTGAGCTCTGAAAGTCTGGTAACATCTGGGAAGACCAACTGAAACTGAAACAAAACTGGTTAGACAAGAGCAAACCAGTGTATATAAAGCTTAATGAAAAAACAGTATAAAATTCTAAGACCAATGAAAAACTTGCTAAAACCAACCTAAAACCTGCAATAGTTTAGTCTACCAACAAAACAAAATAGGGTAAAGTAAGAGGAAAGTTACTGGAAGTGTGATCAGTGTCAGAGAGGACACTGCCACAAAAGCCAGGAAAAGACTGAAAGACCATCAAGTCAGGAGCAGCGAGAAACCTGCTAGGGGAAAGACCTGGTCAAATATGGTTGTTCCCAAAAGAAAGCAGCAAAAGATTCAGCTGCTTAATCCAGTTCTAAAGAAAGATGAGCAGATGGATGGAAATGAAAAAAGATACCCACAAGAATAACACAGGATCTCAAAAATCTCTTAGGATGTTTCTATTTTTACACTGTCACCTGTGATTGTTTGCAGATGAAGAAGAGAAGGAGGCACCCAAAAATCAGGAGATGTGAGTAGACTCAAGATCTAAGATAAAGCCATTTAATTAATTCACTTGATTAGCAGAAAAGAGCTATTCCAAATAAAGCTGATTTATTTCCAAAGAGGTATAAAGTTACTGTTCTGAACCATGGCTTGCAGATTGTTACGGTCACTGATTTCTTTCTCTGTTGCTTCACCTCAAATTGCTGTAGAGTGCTTGGTTATTTGTTTAGTTTTTCCTTATTGATGAATGAGTTGTTATTATTATCACTAAAAACCAGTTGTGGTTGCCATAGGATGCAGATCCTTCTGGCTAGTCAGCCTCAGTAATGAAACACTGCCTTTCTAAATTTTCCAAAAGATCTGTAGCTGAAGCATACCACTTGATTATCTAGTCCACTGCTACACAGATTAAGCACAATACACACACACAATCTCTCTCTCTCTGTATTAATGTAGGTGTATTCATAAAGAAAAGATAACCAGATCCTAACCATGAACTTGTCTTGTTTTAAGAATGCAGTTTAATATATTTAAAGCTATAATTGCATTTTTCTTTGCTGGAAAGAAAGCGGATGAAGATCCAAACCCTACAGTGAGTTCCCTGTGCAGGATCAGGAATCCACCCCTATGGATCTCACTGCCTATGCAGCTAACTGCCCATTTTGGAATTTCCAGATATTTTAAATCATCACTTAGCATATACAAACATAACCAAGATTTTTTTCAAAGAGCAGTAGCTAATTATTCAACCCTTTTCTCTTCAGCAAAACGCCACAAACAAATCACTAAGAGTGTCTACATTAATCAGTGATTATGGAGTGATCCTGCAGGCATTTACTTCTTAGCTCAGTACTTAAACACACCCTGTAAGACTGACATAGCACCTCTTAGCATGAAAACAAGCAAGGATGTCACTTAGTTCTTGTGTTAAGAGCAAACTCTTCAGCTGAGGGTTCAGCGTGACAGCATGTAAGAACCTTGCCAGCTCAGTAAAGTTTTTCTTTAAGTTATTCCATGGAAAAAAAAATTAATAATTCCAACCTGTCTCAAGTAATCTGACCAAACATGCAAACCTGGAAGTCCTTAAAACAAACAGATTGCCAA